TTCATTCATTCGTTCATTCATGCATGTATTCAAACATTTAAACATTCAATCATTCATGTATTCATGCATTAGTCCATTTATTTGTTCATTTATTCATTCATGCATTAGTCCATTCATTCGTTCGTTCGTTCATTCACATTCATTTCAGGCTCCTTTTTCCGAACTACTCAAAATCTCCACTACTGGTTCTCCAGAACCGGTCCGAACCGGCTGAATACCCACCTCTGGATCTGGGGCTGGTCGTGAACCCCCCTCCCTCTCCCCACCCGAATGGGTTGTTCACACAGGAACCGTCCTCTTTTTCCGTCGTCACCTTTCTCGCAACGGCTTCCACGCCACCCGGGCGGACAGTTGCATGCCCCCGTGATGGGATCGCATGAGACCCCGTGTTCACAGTTACACGTGTCCTGGCAGCCTTTCCCATACGTCCGTTCGGGGCAGGCTGGTTGGGGGGGGGGGTAGAGAGAGAGAAAAGGAACAGTTAAAAAAATTAGCGCTTCTATATTTATATACTACCGCTAAATATTGTGGGAGGTTTTAAAACAAAAAGCTAGGTGAGCATTTGTTCAAAGATGCTCTGTGGGGTGGCGGGTTGGACTGGATGACCTCTAAGGGACCCTTGGTAACGCCAGCCAACCAATTGTGTTTTTCAATCTATTTCTTTAAAAAAAAAAAAATTAGACAAACAAAAACAAAAAGAAACATTAAAAACATTGAACATGGTATATGTGGCTTTGGAGGGGACAAGGGCACAATTATTATTATTATTATTAATATTTATTTAATTAATTATTATTGTCTGTCAGGATTCCGGCACTGAACCCCATTTAAATCATGAGTCTCGAGCCAAACTTCCAAAACTTCCAAAGGATTTATTGGGAGTTAACATGCCGGCACTGCCTGGGTGTAGCCGACTCTGAGGTACATCATTCATTGTCACCCTTGACCCTGGTGTCATAAATCATATTCTCCAATGGGACACATTCATAGCCCAGAGTCATCAAGATTTTTTTTTTAAAAAAAAGAGAATTATCTGTACCGATCGATCTCCCGCCGGCCACCAAGAAATAATAAAAAAAGAAGACGCGATGCCATTACGACGTACTTTTCTGGCACTTTTCACCGGTCCAACCGTCAAGGCAAAGGCATTTTCCACTCTTCTGGTCACACCGGCCTCCGTTAACGCAACTGCAACTTTTCTGGCAGCCCGGCCCATATTTACCTTCGACACATTCTAAAGGAAAAAATATACAGCGAGTCCTCAACTGGGAGGGGTCAGACTACATGACCTTAAGGCTCCCCTTCCATCCCAACTCCTAAGATTCTCAGTGAGCCTTTTATTCATCCAGAAGGGAGCAAGGAGGGGAGAATCAGAACAGAATAGAGCTGGAAGGGACCTTGGAGGTCTTCTAGTCCAGCCCGTTGGGAATTAAATGCCAAAACGGCCTTTTTTCTTACCCAGCTCGCATGCCAGTCCAAACCACCCTTCCGGACAGGTGCAGTGGCCAGAAACCGGATCGCAGATTCCTCCCTGTTGGCAGAGACATTCCTGCCGGCAGCCGGATCCGTAAAATCCCAGTGGACACCCTGAAAAGGTAGGAAGAAGAAAAAGGAGGAGGAGGAGGAGGAGGAGGAGGAGAAGAAGGGGGGAGGAGGAGAAGGATGAGGAGGATGAGGAGGAGGAGAAGAAGAAGAAGAAGGGGGGGAGGATGAGGAGGAGGAGGAGGAGGAGGAGGAGGAGGAGGAGG